GACTGATTCGTTCCTCCTGATCATGATTTTAATTAATATCTCTTATGTGGCTAAGGGTGGTAGTGGTTTGCCTTCAAGTCCTTCCCGACTTAGGGCGACCCTAAAGCTGAGGCCGAGTCACACTCTCTCAGCCTCAGAGGAAGGAGAAGGCAGACAAGCCCCCTCCCTTCTCCTGTGAAGAAGTCAATCTTGCCCAAGAAAAACCCAGTCCAGTGATAGGTTTGGAGATGGGACCCAAGTCTAAACATGACATTCATTTTTATATTGTGTTAGGTTTGTCCCCGGGCTTGTTGGGTTTTTTTTGGGGAGGGGCAAGATTTCTTCACAGAGGGGTGTTTTTTTTTTTTATAAAAAAAAGTTAAACTCGCCTACTAGAGTTTGGGCCATTCCCTGGAGGGTCAGTTATGGCAACAAGGCTGGACAACCTCTGGCCTCAGGCTCAGGATGGGAATCTTCCCTTGCGGGGTTTATCACTGGGTTTTCTTGGCAGGATTTCTTCACAGGGGGTTTGCCTTCGCCTTCCTCTGAGGCTGAGAGAGTGTGACTTTGCCTAGGTTTATCACATGGTTTTCTTGGCAAGATTTCTTCACAGGGGGTTTGCCTTCGCCTTCCTCTGAGGCTGAGAGAGTGTGACTTTGCCTAGGTTTATCACATGGTTTTCTTGGCAAGATTCCTTCACAGGGGGTTTGCCTTCGCCTTCCTCTGAGGCTGAGAGAGTATGACCTATTTTATTTGTTTGTTTGTTTCACTTCTGTGCCGCTTTTGTCCCAGGAAGGGACCCCCCCAAGGCAACTTACCAGATAAAAACATCTCAAAAAATTCACAGTAAACTTAAAAAAAAAACCCAATTAAAATAATCTGATTAAAACAATGTACTGTAAAGTTAACATAAAAACATACAAAAGTTAAAAAGGTTTCCATGGCTGACTGGAGATCTGAACCCTGGTCTCCTGAGTCTCCCAGCACTAGGTCTCCCAGCACTTAACCATAGTCCCCCAGCGCTAAAATTGAATTGTGATTTCAACTGTGACACACACACATACACACATTTAAAAATCCCTGTATGACTCAAGCACAATAGATGCACAATAAGATTCATAACGCATGAACGTAAACAAGAGCTCATGTGGGACCATAGTTTATGTTGGGTGGGCATAGTGAGAACTGACATAGTTTCGATTGTATTTCTCCCAGCAAGATGAGATCATGGGAAGACACTTTTCCTGACTCCTATTTCTCACAAGGTAAGATTCCCATCCTGAGACTGAGGTTGTCTGCCTTGTTGCCATAAGTGGCTCTCTAGGGAATGGCCCAAGCTCTAGGAGAGTTTTCCTTTAATTCCCCCCCCCCCCCAAGAAAATGTACCCATTTAAATAGTTATTAATTTGTTTAGTACAGGTTGAGTTTCCCTTATCCAAAATGTTTGGGAGCAGAAAGTGTTTTGGATTTTTTTTTCCAGATTGTGGAATATTTGCATACACATAGTGAGATATTCTGGAACCCAAGTCTAAACATGAAATTCATTTATGTTTTGTACCCACCTTATACGCCTGAAGGTAAATTTGTACATAATATTTTAAATACCTTTGTGCGTGAAACAAAGTTTATGTACCATGAGCCACCAGAAAGCAGAGGTGTCAGCTACTCATGAAAAAAGTTTTGGATTTTGGAATATTTCAGACTTTGGAATTCTGGATAAGGGAGATGCAACCTGTAGAATAAGAACCAAGCTGCCTGCTTTGCAAATGAGCCTCTTAGGTCCCCCCTTTTTTTACTTTTCCTAGTAACTTATGTGAATTTCGGCTCTTCCTCTAATCACTACAAGGACTATCTTGTTGATAAAATTCCACTATTCTACAATGGGCTCTTGTGTTTTTTCCTAGCTATGTGAGATGCAGATGTTCAAAATATTTTTATAACTGTAACTACATCTGTGTGTTTACTAAAGCTTTTGCTACTGAAATTCTGCTGTCACACAGCTATTAGAGGCACAAGATCCACTCCCCTAACAATGTGACAACAACTTGACTAAAGACAGAGCTTAATATCCCAAGCTCACTCACTACCCAGATAAATCTTTATTTCATCCATCTGTTTAGTTCAGTTTTTGCATGTTTAGTCAAAAGTAAATCCTACATAGTTTAATGGTGTCCACTTCCAAGTAAGTTTATATAGGTCTCCATCATTGATAAAACCACATATTCTCTCAAGATATTTCTTTTAAAAATCACCATCTGGTCTAAGTTTTAGGATTCCTCTGCATGCTCTTCAGTATTTGTCTCTTCAACATTGAAAGTGTATGTTGGAGCAGGGCAGCAGTGATCTAGCAGACTTGGCCTACAAGGGAGCAAAAGATAGATAGCTTCTGATCTTACCTTGAATTGTGGTCTTGCAAATAGTATCTGCTTGGTTTGTTTTCAAGCACATCTCTAGAATTCTCAGGCCAGGATATAGGAAAACCATCTATACAATGTGGTCTTTTGGAAAATCCACCACCCACAATTGCCAGTACCTGCACATTGCTCTTTCTGCCCAAGGCTGGCAATTGGAAATGGACAATTTCACATAGTGGGCACCATTGGGCCAAGTGTGTTCTGGTTGGTGTCCAGAGCCTAACATCTATATTAAAACATACTATATTTTTCCTAACTTCATCTTAGTTCTGATGAACATGTTTTAAAAGTTAACTTGTCCTTTAGTTGTATTTTTTGAAGTCAAAATGACACGTTTTATGGCTTTAAAAAATACCATGCTAAGTGGTTTGGTCTGCAATACGTGGATGCCCTTTCTGCAATTCCACAAGACTTCAGGTCTCTTCCAGATGTATTAACTGAAAGAAGCTTTGCTTAGTTAAAAATTAAGGCAGCAACAGCTTGCGTGTGTAGTTGTTTTTAGGTTTCTTCAATTCTGACTCCATCTTGGTGGTTTTTGACAAAGCAAAGCAAAGCAGCTTCATTTATATACTGCTTCATACCGCTATGGAGTGTCTAAGTGGTTTACAACTGTAAGCTCGTTGCCCCCAACAGCTGGGGACTCATTTTAGCGACCTCGGAAGGATGCAGGCCTGAGTCTAGCCTGAGCCCTGGCTAGTATTGAACTCACAACCTTGTGGTTTATGAGTGAGTGGTTGCAGTACAGGCATTTAACCACTGTGCCACCAGGGCTCCTGAAATAAGAGTATTTCAGAGGAGAATTGCAGTTGTCATCCTTTTAAGTTAACAGAGTGTAACTTGCCCAAGGGATCCCAGTGGGTTTCCATTATTGCGCAGGAATTTGAACCCTGATCTTCTGGAGTCCACTCAACCACACTGGCTCCACAAACACACATACACAACACAAATACATTGCAAAACAGATTTTAGTGGCACTTTGCCATCCTATTACTATGATCATAAACTATATTTTCCTATCATTCCATCAGCACAATTGTATTCCTATCAGTAGACAGCTGTTTTTCTTGAGTCAAAGGAGCAGCCACAAACTAGAATGTAAAACTGGGCTGAGGTGAGATTTGGTAAACATAGTTAAGTATGTAATTATACAAACTGAACCTGCCAGTACATCCAGCATTTACAGGATCAGGCTGTAGTAAAGTTTCTCTGCTTCTTCTCTCTCACAGAAGCTGGCTGTGGACAAGGGACATTGTAGTGCAACACATCTGTCCATTTTTGAATGGGCCAAAAACATATATTCTACAGGCAGGGCTTACTTCTGCAAGCTAAAAATATGTTTCAAATAATGACAAACCTTCATGTAATTGACTGATCAGCATAACAGTAGTATGTCTAACGATGCTTGAGAAATAGAGTGATGGTTGTTGTTGTGGTGGTGGTGTGCTTTCAAGTTGTTTCCCACTTATGGTGACCCTAAGGCAAACTAAAGGCCTAAGCAGACTGCTAGAAATAGTGCACTTTAAA